TTTATTTTGCGCTCCTGCCGCGGGCTCTGCCCTTGGCCTCGTCTTCTTGGCCACTAAGTGCGGTCCTGTGGCCCCAGCCCCAGCTCCCCGCAACTGCCTGCCTCCTGCCTCACCGGAGCCCCACCCTCCGTCTTGCTCGGTCGCTCCTTCGAACCCTTGATAACGGTGCACAAAGGAAGGGGAGGAGGCAGGTATCGCTCGGCCAGGGGGCGGCAGTAGCCTGAGTCCCGAGGGCCCCTCCGTTTCACAGATTCACAGAAGATTGAATCCCCTGCCCTCTCCCCCCTTTCCTTCGACTTTCCTGTTCGCCGCTCACAAGCCGTTAGACTAATCTCGCACCCGGCGTTAAAGTCACCACCGCTCACTTGCTCGCTCACTTGGTGTAGCACGACGCCACACCGGACGGTACTTTGGGTTGCCTATGCACTATGGTCGCAGGGGCTGCAGGCAAAAGACCACTTGAGGCCACCTAAAAAGGGGTGCGGGGGAGTATGCGTGAAAGTCGCAGGGAGTTTCAACGCGCAGTCGGCTTCCCCGCGGGGTGCACCTCGTCCTTCGTGGGGATCCCGCCCCGCGGGTCCGCGCGAAGCCGCATTGTGGGCTGCGCACTTTCGCGAGCAGGCGTAGAGCTCCCCGCGGGGCGGGGGTGGCCCCGATAGTCGAGGGTTTTTCGCGGGGGATCGACGCCTGTGAAGGAGCTTTCTTTGTTTTTTAAGAATGATTCTTTACCCATTGGCCATTTTCCCCTTGACGCATTGGAAAATCATTTGAATCAACAGAAAAATTCTAGTTTAATAACAGACCTAAATCAACGGAATCGTTTTCTGGATGCGATGCACTCTTTGTAGCCTCCATACAGACACGCCCCCCCCCCCACCCATCCCATGGGGCCTCAGGCATGAGGCCTTCCCTTCTCCCTACAGCGCCCACGGGTGCGGATTGATGTCCGGCTGGCATTGGGCGATGCACTGTCGGTTGCCTACATTAAGGATTTTTGTGTCGCAAATTTCCTACCTTTTTAGGTGGCTCTCTAGAGATCAGGGCGATCCCCCTACCCCGCCCCTGAATTCGCGCCTGAGCGCCCGCGGCATGCGCGTAGGCAAACCAAAATGTGGCGTGGGACACCCGGTAGATGGGGGTTTTGTGAGTCCCAGGGGGGGGGGGCGAAATCACGTGTTATTGTGACCATACGTGTGGTCACGTGGGACTTAACGTATTAACTGGACCGGAAGCCTGATTTCGTGCCCCGATTACGGGTGGCTCTAGTTCGCTAATGAACAAACAGTCGTGATAACCCGATTTGAAGTTAAATGCAAAGATCCACGCGACGTCCAAGTGCGTTGATGTAAAATTTAAAGACCGAGTAAAATACACCCCTTTCGAAATCTCTTGGACTCGGGAAACCTTTAAAACATTTAGTGCACTTGTCCTTCCAGTAGCAAGGCCAAATGCAATGGTCCAGTCAAGGCAGGGCCAGTTGTTCATATCGACAGCCTCCAGCAGCCTTATGGGACACACTGACGCCTGTCGCCGTCGTCGGAACCGGTTTTTGAACTCCACCTATACATATCACGAGTCTTCACGCAAAAACCCCGTGTCATCATCAAAAATACGATGGCGCCAGGTGTGTATGTATGTGTGCGTGTGCGTGTGGGTAAATAATGCATGGGAGTGAGTGAGAATGAGAGTGTCCCTTCAAACGAAAGGAAAACTGACACGACCGCCTATGGTCAAGATCAATGACCCGCCCTCGCCTACCCCCTCCCACTTTCCTCTCTTCTCCCCCACTTGCCATTTTACGGATGAAAGCGAAAACGAGGGCCGAGTTTGTGCACAATGGGACGGCAAGGTCGAGCGGCACCATCGCCCCGCCCCGCCCCCGCCCTGAAGTCTGACGAGGGGATGCACTGATGCACTCAACAATGGTCCAAGTCTGCCGCCACTGATCGCAACTGATCGCAATGTGACACACCATATGAGACGAGTTGAACACCATCTTGCGGTTGCCTGTTCTAGTCTGATGCGATGCACACACCCAAAAAAAAATCGTTTCTTGTTTCAAGTAAATTTTTCCTTGTTTTAAGTGCTCGCTGACACAGATCAAATTTACTCTATCGGGCGAAGCCTCTTTTTTTAATTTTTTTATTTTAGCCAATTATTAAAGGTGAAAAAGAAAAACCAAGAAAACCTAGGCTATGCGTTGTTATCACTATTAACCGATATTAACATGTTCAGTCTACCCTGAAAACACTGTTGGCACGCGCTTACTGAAGTGTTACCCAGTTCTGCACACGTCACTAAAACTAGAGAGTACACGTATACCTCTTCGGGAGGAGGATTGCTTTAATTTAGGTTGCGTCTGGGGGGAAATGGGGTGAGAGGGGCCGTGACCAAATGTGTGGCAACTGGAGAAAAGGGACTTAGATACCTGGAATAGATTTGGGAGATTTTGGAGGAGAGCCTTCATCTATGTGGGTATGGCGCCGTCGTCTCAAAATTGATCATAATCGTGGGATGCAAAACGTGGAAATGGACTCTCATTTTTTCATGTCGGCTCGGAGGGGAGAAGGGCGCCTAGCGGAGTGCAGCCAGACTCGATCCCACCTGCCTGCCTGCCTGCTCCTTGGCTTGGGGTAGGTTGTTCTCTCCCACGCAGTTAGCCGGGGGAGGGGGGCGGCAGGGTGTATCACAGTAGGGGTGCGCCGGGGAGGGCGGGAGGGGAGGGAGGGAGGCAGGGCAGGGGACGCACCTGCATCATGGGACCCGAAGGTATAAAAGAAGGTGTTTCCTATCCGGGGGTCATTCGTAGTCGATCCTCCTAGCAGTGCTCCTCACACACACCAAGTTCCCGGTCTGCACTCCACCATGTAAGTACAGAGTTTTTGGTTCACAGCTACGGCAGCTCTTTGCGCCCATGTCCCCTTCCCTTGGCACCCCTTCCGTGGCTGTGAAAGACGATTTGTTTCCGAAATGTCCGCGATCAAAAAGGGGGACACTGGAACCAGTTGGCTGATTAACCCCGCGCACTTCTGTGGTTATAC